ACATTGTTTGAGATATTATGATTTCTTTAACTTTTACATGGTACATGCGATCTGAATCCCCACTCCAACAAGAAAACATTAAAGGGTACCTTTTTTTTTTTTTTTTAGATTTTGCTAACGAATGGTATAGAAGTATTTTTTAGATTTATTTTTATAATGCATTGAAATTCATAATATTAAGAGTCAAATTTCTCATTTAATATTAAATTTTAAAAAATGCATTAAAGACACTGCAAACATTAATATTGTTAATAACAACAACACGTGATTTAGATCCCAAAACTCAATGATGAAAATGGGTTTGCTTTTTTTTTTTTTTTTAAAGTTCATTTATTTAGTCAAACTCAAGCATATGAACTTTCCCTTTTATTAATTACTTTATTTAAACAAAAAGGGCACCAAAAAAAAAAAACTATTAGATCAACAAAAGAAAGAAAAAATAAAATTTCCTCAAGACACGCAATTAATAAAGTAAAACACTTTGTCTTTGTTAATTATAACTGTAATTAAATTAATTTGATGGGGTGGGGAACATGAACATCTCCCCAATACGGTCAAATGAGTGCTTTCTTTTCTTTCTTTCTTTAATTAAACTATTAAAAGTAAACTCTTTCTTCAAAATCATTCTCGTTTTGCAATATGAAATGGGAAAATTAATTAGTTTGATTCCATTTTTTTTTCTCGAGTCATGCAACATGTTTTATTTTTTTTATGTTGAATGAGATTTAAATTGTTTTACTTTTTTAAATGGTTAAAAATTTTCTATAATTGACCTAAAAAAATTAATTTATTTACATCAGATTTAACAAATTTATAAAAAATTTATTTTTTAATAACCTTACAATAAATTTAAATCCAAATAACTAAAAAAAAATTTAATTCCACTTGAGTCAGCATCAATCGATAAATTATGCTATTGAGATACATACATATAACTAACCATGACCTAATATTAATAATACTATTTTTGGGTGGGTGAGATCTCAAGAAATGAGCTGTGTTTCAAATTTTCTCAAATGTCGCATCAATTCATTTTTATATATTTATTTTAAAATAGTCTTTACTCACCTTTTGCAATGTTGCATGGAACACGATGAAGTATTGCGAAGCTTCCTCCGATAACAATAATAATAATAATAATAATAATAATAATAATAATAATAATAATAATAAACATCGGCTTAGTGGTTTGTAATTTAATATGATTTTTTTTCTTGAAAGAAATTTATCTATTTTTTTATTAAAAAAAATTCAGAATAAATAAATTATTTAATCTTTTAAGTTATGATAAAATATATCGTATTTGATAACTTAATATAAATAATTATAAATTATATATTTAAAATGATCATGATAAATAACTATTAACAAAACTTGAATCTAAAATTTTTTTATCAAAAAAATAATTTTAATTAATTAAATTAATCACTTGTTACTTCGTACTCTTTTTTTCCACCTTGTTTTGGCTACTAGCTGGCTAATGGTTTCTCTTTCTTAGGCTCTCAAATAGCCTTTTTTATTTGCTTTGCTCGCTGTATAGTGCAACATGTACAATATATTTAACTTACAATTTATTTATGATTAATATTATAATCAAAACTTATTCAACTCAGCTCAAAATAATTTAATTTTTGTTACTTTACATATATAAATTAGATTTATCTGTAAATCGGATTAAATTTGATTGATTTTTTAAAATTCTTTATCAAAGGTTTGATCGAATTCATTAAATTTAAAAATAGATATTCATTATATGTAAATTATAGGTTTGATCCATGTAAAAATGTTCATGTTTTGCTACATTTGGAAGAGAAAAGAATTGATGTATGTTAAGTATGAATTCATCATGCATGACTTTTGGTTCATACAAAATTCAATTTTTAATTAAAAAAAGAGAATTATGTATTTAAGTCATAATAATTGAAGTTTTGTATAATTGTTGTTATTCATCTTTGAAATGGGTTGAGATCTAGCATTCAAATCTCCCCTTCTTTGTTGCATTTTGTTAAATGTTAACGAATTGAGAAATAGAGAGATAAGAATAAAAATAAAACTATTTTTACTATTTATAATAAATCAAATTCTTATTATCATTTAAATTCTTAGTATTGCGAAGCTTCCTCTGATAATAATAATAATAATAATATAATAATAATAATAAACATCGGCTTAGTGATTTGTAATTTAATATGACTTCTTTTCTCCAGAGAAATTTATCTAATTTTTTTTATTGAAAAAAATTTGATATAGATAGATTGTTTAATCTTTTAGATCATGACAAAATGTATCGTACCTAACAGTTTAAGACAGATAACTACAATTTATATATTTGAAATGATTTCAACAAATGATCATAGACAAAATTTGAATTTAAATGATAATAAGAATTTGATTTATTATAAATAGTAAAAATAGTTTTATTTTTATTCTTATCTCTCTATTTCTCAATTTAAATTAAAAATAATTTTTTTTTTATGAAACTGAGACTTAATTCAAATAATTCATCCATCTCTTTTAAGAGGAAAATTTTTCTTGTTCGATTCCTCCAAAAGTTTAACCTCTTTTGTAAAATAAGACAAAATTTCCTATAAAAAAAATTAAAAACAAAATTCATACGAAGTAACATAATCCAAAGAAACTTTTCGTAAAAAGATACTCAGTGTGATTGGATTAATTCCTTGCCAGCAATGGAAACGAAATCAATGAAAAAAGTTTTTTTTTTTTTTTTTAATTTGAATAAATCAAAGAAAGAAGTTTTCCAAATGTGGATATACCCTTTCCTTTCCCATTACCTTTTTTGTTGGTTTCCAGTTGTAAGCAGCAGAATTTGGAAACTTGCCAACTATAAGGACTTTTGGAAGCACTCTCTCGGAAAACACTCAATTTAAAGTCAATCGACGATAAATGAAAAATTTTAATTTGAATATTAAATTATAAAAAATCAAATATTTATTAAATATAAAATAAATTATTTTAATAAAATTTTATTATGTATAAATAAAAATGAAAAAATTTATTATATGATAGATTAAGAAAGGATAATAAAAAATTTTAATTTTAATATCATACTAAATATTTAATTTAAAATTAATTAATAATAAATAAAAAATTCAATTTAAATATAAAATTATAAAAAATTAAATATTTATTAAAATTGAGATATCCTATTTTAACATGTGTAAGGATATTCTCTTCTAAAGTAGGTTTTTTTTTTTCCTCTTTGGCTGCTATCAACGACTATCCCAATACGTTAGGGTTGAATAGTCATTCGCCCTCGTCGAAATTTCGGTGAGGGCAAAAGCAATTTTTACATTATATTAATTTTTTATTAAAAAATATTTTAAGAATAATAAGTTTTATAAACATTTCAAACTGTGCTTTATGAGCGATTAAATGCCATTTCCCCCCGGTTTTTTGTTATATTCAAAGTCAATGAAAAAACTTTTTTGATTTTAACATCTTAACTTCCCATAAGAGATGAAAGTCAGTGCTCCTGTAATCTTTATTTTTTAATGTTATTTAAAATTGGATTGCTTAAATATGAAATAAAATGTAAGATGAAAATGCTGTCGTCACCTCTCATTGTTTTTTTTTTTTAAATATATATATATAATGAGTGCATTAAAATATTTAATTTAATGATAAATGTATGTATATATCAATTAAAAAATTAAGCTCAAATTTTTTTTGTCCCGAATTAAAAAAAAAAGTTAGAGTTTGAATTTAAAATTTTTATTTTAAATTATTCCATCCCTTAATTTCAATCACCGTATACCTCAAATTGACAACCCATTCTATAACAAGAAAGATAAAAAAAAAATTACTTTGATTATTGATTTTACCTAATAAAACCAACCAACATTTTGGTTAGTCAAAAACTGTCCATGAGAAAACCTTTTTTATAATCTCAAATTATTAAAATTAAAATTTTAATATTTTATTATCATATCACGCACGTTATTAGAAATGAAAAACATTAAATTCCAACCAAATGAAATATTATCCACGTTAAAAGTGAAATCTTATGTGAAATGACAAGAAAACCCTTAACTTCCTCTGCATCTGAATATCACCCATAGATAATAAATGGATTGGGTGACAAGTGGATTACTTGCGAAGTGCATCCCATTCTCTTCCCATCCCATCTCCCTCTCATTCTTTTGTCATTTCCCCCGCACATATTAATTATATTATTTATTATAATATTTCTCTACTATTTATAAAAGGAAAAACATCCATAAACTTTAATAAATTGTTTTTATAAATTTTTAAATGCTGCTTTGTTCCCACATGAATCTCATCAGATTCAAGAATGATCACCATCTACGTTGATGTGCACTTACAAACCAATCTCCACCGTCCAATTCTCAATCATGGTTAACATTTTTTTAGGTCCCCGACAGTGACAAGGCTTATGGCGTAGCTACACCTTAGTATTTATTACGTGCATCACCTCAATCAATCCATCTCCTAAAATATACATATAATATAGGTTGTAGCCGTTATTAATAATATATAATAATATTAATTATTATCAACGTTTGTTGATATGAACGATAAGAGATTTAATTTTATTAAATAAAATTTAATTTTATGAATAGAAATGAAATGTGATTTGATTTTAAATTAATCGAAATTTTAAATAATTATTTAATATTAAAAATTTTTAAATAGAAAATAAAATTTATATTTTAATAGATTTATTTGATCAAATGATAAAAACAAGTTTTTTATTGTTTCGGTTCAAAAGATTATAACGAATTACTTTTTTTATGAAATCATTAAATTGAAAGAAAATAAATAAATAAATATCTAAAAAAATTTTATTTGGACCGATAAAAAATATACAGAATAAAATCTAAGAATCCTGACCGTTCAAAGAAACTACAATCAGGTTAAAAAAGCGAAGGAAATAATATAACAATAAATTAGAAAAAAAAAAAAAAGCGGGACCATCAAAATGAAAAAAAAAATACTAAACTATCAAAAGGGATTAGCCCCACCGCTGTGTAAACTATGTTTCTTTGTTATACAGAGAAGAGAGTACAGACATAACTCTCTCTCTTTTTTCTCATTGCCTTTTTATGTCTTTATCTTTGAGCTTTGATATCTTTCTTTTCAGGCTAATGTTTACATTGATTTTCAAGCTTTGACATGTCCCTCGGGAACCACGACGAGTTAATCCAACGGTTTAGAATAAAGGGTATCAACTCACGAAAGGCGATAGTAGCCTTTGGATTATTTGCATCTTTTTTCTAAGCATCTCTCTTCTCTCTTATACTTGGTAGGAGTAGTATTTTTTTATTAAAAAAATTATTGCCTTCATTTTTCACTCATTTTGACTGGAACGCCACTTCCTTTCCCCTCTATATAAGTCTTTCCACCCTCCCTCTCTCTCATCATCCTTTACTTGAACACTCAATACCTCTGTGCAGAACCTCATCTGTCTTCTATTTCTCAAGCTAACTATTGTCGTTGTCTCCTCTCTCTTCCTCTGTCTAATTACAATGGCTGAGCAGACGCCTTCAAAGCGCCAAAGAGAAGAAGAAACCCAGAGTTTAGATCAAGAATATGTTGAAGAATCAAAACGCCATAAGTCATATAACCACATACTCTCTTTGCTTGAAGCAGAAGAGGATGAGCCGAACCAAGATTTGTCTTCTCTCATCACAACTTTACAACAAGAACTCTCGTCTGACTCTGTTTCAGATGACTCTCTTCCTGCCTACCAAACAACCACCCTAGAAGCTGACCCTGAAAACCTTTCAATAACAATAGCAGCAGCGTCAGCTGCCAATACCATGGGTAGCAACTTAGAAGACGACACGTCAGCAACTTCTTCCTTGAAAGATGAGGATCATCAGGACGATGATAAAGAGCGAGTCATAAGGCATCTGCTTGAAGCTTCAGATGATGAGCTAGGGATTCCAAATAGAGAAGATGGTGTTGGTGTTGAAGTTGTAGACTTTGAAGAAGGCTGTAACAATGACGGAAATGTGTTTGCTTTATGTGATGGGTTATGGGAACTTGAAGATGAGGCTGCTAATTACTATACTTTGTTGCAGTCTGAACTCTTTACGGCTAGAGATGGGACTTTGTAAGGATGAAAATAGAAGCGGAAAGAAGTGGTAGGGGTAAAAAAGTAGAAAAGGGAAAAATGGGGAGTGTGTGAGAAATTTCGAAAAAATGAAGGCGTTTTTTGGGTTAATTCATTTTGGAATCCTCCCTCTCTTTGAAAATATCAGAACTTTCCCTGTGTTTCTTTCGAAAATTAAATCGTAGAAAAAGGAAATTGACTAATATTTTATCCCAAATGTCCCATTATTTCATCCAATGTCAATATTGATATGGGCACCCAACCCATAATAAATTAAATTAAATTGAAAAGGGTAAATATAAATTAAAAAATAACACATAAAAGCCACTCTACGATTCGAGTGGTCTTAAGCTACAGTTCACTTTAGCTTTCTACTCTTACTGCTTGAGACGATAATCAGGCTTTTGCCTTGTTCCTTCATTTATTGGATACCCTATTTTTTTTACTTTATTTGTTGGGTTTTTAACCTTTTGTTCGTGAATGGTGTGACATATTTTACTCGCCAAACTAAGGCGTGGCTACACGCTCCAAGGTAATTGGTAAACAGTTATCCGATCCAGACACAATCTCACTCCTCTCTGATTGGAGGAGGTGACCGAACAGTCACTTTTTTCCATATTAAATAATAAAAGAGAAATATATGAAAAAGTATAAAATTTTATATATTTTTATTTTTTAACTATAGTTAGTGATTTATTAAATTTTTTTTTATATGTTATTGAATAAATTAACTGAAGATTTATTAAAAGCTTTGAAAATAAATCAAAAATTAAAAGATGAAACAGGTGATTTGTTAAATTATAATTCAATAATCAAAAATTCAAATTCAAATCTCATAATTTAATCAAACAAAATTTTCGATTGAATTAATAATTTTTTAAAATTAAATGATTATCCGATCAAATTTTATTTATAATTTATGTTTATTTCTAATTAAAAAATTTTTAAAAAAATTGTGACAAAAAACAAAAAAAATTAAAGATAAAATAAAAATTTAAGTTCTTTTAAAACTTTTTCATTTAGTATTATCTGATATTGTAAATAAAAAATCTAAAAATAAAAGATCTAAAACGTCAAACTGTCTAAATCTCAAAAAAAATCTTAAATATTGGATTAAATTTATTCAAATAAAATCAAGATATCAAAACTTTCAAAGAAAATTTTTGTTGAAGAAATTTTTTTTAATAATTTATTTAATTTAAAAATTTTTAAAGCCTACATTCTTTTGACTCTAAATTTTTCGTTATCCTATTTTAATACACGATATGTGTACCAAAGCTAATTAATTATTGGTTCGTGACGTGGCGTGCAGCGTGATGGGTGATGATAAGAAACAACGAGGCTTATGCATGAAGATTGAAAAAAAAAAAAATCGAAACCAGGCAGCTTTAGGGACAAGGTAATTCTTCCTGTCGCTGTTTGGACAATGAAGGGGGCCCATTTACAGAAGATGGGGGACCCACTTTTGATGTGAGATGCTGATGGGGTATGCATTGTTTGCCATGTCTTTCACGTACTTTGATCAAATCAAATAATTACGATGATGGTGGATGATGGATGGCAAATTGGCATGGTCTGTGGAAATGTACAAACCGTATGATGGATGATGACAGATGGGGACAGGTGCGGTGTGTGATGATGGTGAAGATCATGAGAATGAGATGCCCGCCAGATTTGATTAAGCTACATATACATAATAAAAATTATTCACTTAGAGTTTTTTTTCTCGAACAGCATTACGGATTCATATCATTTATAATTTATAATTAAATATTATAGTTTATTAATTATAAAAAAAAATTATTTAAGACTCACAATTTAAAAATAAAATTTTATATAATTTTTTTATAAATCTTTCTTAGTATTAAATTATAATTAATTAAAATTCCAAGTTATCTATTATAAAATATAACATTTAAATCCATATACGAATTCTAGATTATGCTTCGATTTTTTGTAACATCTGAAGTGAAGTTTTGAGTAGCCAAGAAAGTACCATGTTGCAAGAAATGTGAAAGGAATTTGATATGCAAATTGTCAGTTGGAAGAACTTTGCTTTGAAAGAAACGCATTTGTGGATATGCTCAGACGACACAGATTTCTTACAAACCACTGGCCCACTCTCCATAATCTTAATGTTTTTTTGTTAGGAAGGATGTATTTGATATATAATATTATAATATAAAAAAATAAAATGATATTAAATAATATTATTTTATTTTATATTTGATGTATATAAAAATTATGATAAGATAATTTATTTATTGATTAAAATTATTTTTTTTTAAATTTATATAATTTAAATTATTAATATAAATTTTAAAATATAATAAGACAAAATTTAATCTATAAATTAAAATTTTTTTTATTTTGAGATGAATAAATTATTTTATATTAAAAGAATGATTAATTTTTTTGTAATTTTATTTTTTTTAATTATATATAAATTAAATATAATATTAAATAGTGATTTTTTTATCTTACCTATCACCTTGTATATAAAATATAACCGTTTAATTTCAATTTATAAATTAAATATTCCTTCAAGTACAACTAAAATTTATAAAGTTTATTTCAACTTTGAAGAAAGAAGTTTTAAATTCGACTGTTTTTGAACCGACAACACACGTTTTTCGATTATGATTGGGTTAAGGGAAGATGAAGTTTGAACAAGAATAGTTATTGCCAAGACAAAAGCCTAAAAACAAGAAGAACAAGATGGCTGTAAGAGCCAATATAATCTTAAACAGACTAATTATTGGTGTTTTTTTTGTTTTTTATTTTTTAGTTCAATGATCATCAATTTCAGACAAAGTCAAGAACAATTTTCCAAAGAAAGTTGCGTGTTGGTTTCGGTTATACGGCTGCTAGCTGCGGTCTAATTCCAAGTGTGTCTAGAACCAAAATTTTCAAGTTTTGAATTATAATGTTTCAAGCTTTTTTTAATCAAGTAAATGGTTTTGAAATTTGACATGTTAAATGTTGAATATTATTCTTTTTTTTTTTTTTTTCGAATTTGACAAGGTTGAAGGGCCGTGCCGTATCCGCCATGATTTTTTATTTGTGGCTTAAAGCCTTAATTAGACAATTTTTTCTGGTTAATTTCTGAGTTCTATTTGTTGATATTTCTAAGCAGTTGATAACATGTTCAAGCCAAACTATTATTATTATTATTATTATTTAAAGAGGGAAAGTAAAGCAATTGTTAATTGTGGTTTCAATTGACAAATCTTTGAGATGCCCCCATTGCGTTATTCAAAATAATTGCAAATGAAATTGGAATTGGAGACGTCATTTTTAAAACACAGGCACTGCTTTTCTACAGCAATTATGTCAACTGTTTTTGAGAGTACAAGCCAAGGCTGCTGCACCACAAATTGGGCATCTAACAATAACCATCGGCGGACAACACACACATAAAAATATCCCCCCCCCCATCACTTCGGTCAAATTAAGGTTGTTTTTCCCCTAACCCTCAACAACATCACTTTGAATTTGTGCTACTTAATTTAAAATTTTTTTAATTCCAATTTCAAATTCTTTCTATCTTTTTTCTTTAATTACAAAAGCAAAATTCAATTGCATGATCAGAATTTTACGAGCTAATTTAGCTAATAACTTCCTCCACTTTAATTCATATATAGATATAGATTTTGCTAATTAGTACTTTTAAGACACTTTTTAAAATTATTTTGTAGTTTTCAAATATTGGGCTTAATTAGAGAGAATAAAATGAGTAAATAATTTGTAATATGTTAATTTAGATATAATGATTAGTGTATTTATGTCAAATAAAATATTAAAATTTATGTATTATATTATATTTTATATAAAAATTATATATTATAATTTATGTCAACTAAAAAATAAAATATATTAATTTAATATTATTAAATTTATATATAATTATTATTAAATTTTACATCATATTATTTTTTTTAATCATATTTTCATATTATTTTTATATTTATTTCATTACATCATATTTTAAATTTTAAATCTCCATACCATATTCTAATTTATTAGTCGTGCGAACACCATCTACATTGTTACAATAACATGCTGTGCTTGGCACGACTCTTGTCAAAGTATCTGAATTAAATCAAAATATTTTGATCTATGAGCTAACACAAATGATTCATATGAATTATCAGTCGACACGTGATATATGAAGTAGCAGCCACGGAAGTCCAATTCTAAGGTGGAGATGAGGGCTCAGCAGGTGCCCGATTGCACCTTGCTATTATCATAAAATGAAAGAAAAGATGGGCCAATTGGCAAAATTGGTCCAAGCAACCCATAACGGATAGTTGGGCCACTGGAAGAAAGTGGTTGGTTGAGGTGTCCAAATCAGATTCCCAAAAACCACAAAAAAGAACCCTAGTACGTGTACGACAACGCTGTTTAAGAGATCTGGAGCTTTGTAGATACAGCCTGGCTTTGATAACATCAAATTGTTGTTGATGGGTGTTTGGTTCCAGCACATCAGCACATGCTCAAAATATCCTAAACCAATACATGAACAACCCATCAATGGGTGGTTAGTTGCATTTTCATGTGTATGGTCCCTCTCTATCTAATCTTCCTTTTCTTCAAATCATGGTTTGTTTTTAGCTGGAAATGGGAGAGGGAAAGAATATATTCATCTTTTTTTATATTTCTGAACATTTGAACCTGATTTAGGCCAACCAGATTATCAATTACTATATATATATTTTCATGATATAGTTGCAATCAATTTGAATTCCTCCTTTTTTTGGTTTAATCAGCCAACTTTCCTTTGATTGCAATGCTTGAATTAGGAATTTGAGGCAATTGATAATGACAAGTCCTTTGGATTTTAGTTAAATGCACACACATTGTCACATGTCTCGTCTAAAAAAAAGTTGAAATTTCTAATCACCATTACAAGCCAAAGATTTTCTTGAGGGGCCAAATTCTTTGAGGAAGAAAAAGGAAATAATTGTGGTTGCAACTTGATAAACAAGAATTGTTCAATGACGTTCACGACAATATACAGTTAATGATTGCGGGAAAAAGACGGCAAAAAGCATTTGATCAACAAACCCTAATGGCATAATTTTCCCACAGTTGGACTAAAAAAGAAAAACTAGCCCTTTGGTTTGGAAAAGACAAGAAAATTTCAGTGTGGAAATGGTGTTGCGTGTCAATCCATTTGTATCTATGGATGAAACATGGGTGTCAAAATTTCAGCCTCAGCGCTCAGCCAAAGGGCTGGAAACTAATGAAAGTTGTCTTTTACATAAGAAATTGGTTTTAGTTCAATTATACACAATCATTGAAGAAAAATGAGAGAGGAGAGATGGCAAGTAAAGCAATCAAAAAGTGGATATCGATAACTGTGATAATTATTGGGGAGCTTTACTGTTGGTTTAAATTTTTACTAGCCGGTTGGCACCACAAAATTCCTATTGGCTTTTTACAACGTTTGGCAATGTTCTATTTCTTACAGTGAAACATTGCAATGAACTTTGCAAACACAAACAAGGAATATTTATCTGTTTCCCAAAGTGCATGAACGCAGTGTTGATTGGCCCAAAATGAAAGCTCTGGCTTTCTGCATAAAATATGGGCTATAGTTTGCACCAATCTCCACTACCTGATCAGTGGCTTATTGTCAAGCTGAAGCCCACTTCTGTATTTATGTTATGGCCCCTGGCCCTGCTATGGTCCAGCCGAAGGGCCTTTGAACTCCTGAATAGGGTAGGGTTTAAGCTAGAACCAAAATAATGGAGTTTTTCTTCTACCTCTGGTTCACAAAAATATCATTTTATAGCTTAACTCGTTTTTTTTTGCCTGAAAGTTATGAACTTTTAAACACTGAGCTCTAAATTCAAATTCCATTTCTTTCTATAAAACCTTAAAATCATGTACTTCTTTAACAGGATTGCCAAATCCTTTACAAGGCCAACGATCAACACAATTCACTCAAAATTGGGTCAATCCCACTTGAATCCTACTGCCCTTTTCAAAAACTTCTCCACTAAACCCCCCCAAAAGGACAAAGATGACTCTTGGAATGATGCCTGGGAAACAGCTTGGCTCCCTGATGACATTTCCCCCAAGAACAGAGCTCCTTGGGAAGCTGACGTTAACTTCCCTTCTTCTGAAGAGTCAACAAGAACGGTGCTTTCAGCGGATGTTGATGCAGAAACCAAGGCGTTCGTTGAAGACATGAATGAGAATTGGAATGAGAGACGAAAGTCACCTAAACAGAAGCAGAAAGAGGAAGCTGAAAAGGAGAGGAAAGGAGAGGGTGGTGGATTGTATAGTTTGGAGAATATGAAGAAAGATTATAGGTTGAAGAAACAGAGAATCCATGCTGGGTTGTGGATGAAGGAGATTGATAAGTTGGAGGAAGCTAAGTTGGGGGATTCTACTGATGATATTGATAAATTGCTTGATAGCTGCTCTGAGTATGTCCTTTTTTATCCATTTTGTTTTCTGCTACGTTTATAATTGATTTGTTGGATTAATGGGATATCTTGGTAGAGTTTATAGTTAAAGAAACAAAAAACTAAGTGGGTTAAACTTTAAAGATACATTAACGATAGTGTCAGCCTTTATGTCCAAAAAGTACAGTTGATGTGTAGTGATTCGGTTGGTTAAGACTTGAGAGAGTATAATCTGTCAACTAAGTTTTGATTGAAGGCTCAGCTTTGGTTTAATCCGCTTAAAAGCGTTTGAGTTGTCAAACCTTATAAGAGGAAGATCAAAGCTCAATAGATAAAACATGGTTTATTTCAAAGTAGATTTTCCTATGTATAGAAACAAGTTAGAGTTCGTTCTGCAGGTTATTTGATGAAAGACAATAATAACATACAGGGAGAATATTGTTTGCCGTGTTGAACACTTGATGACTTACAGGACTATGCCTTTGGCTACATTTGTCACATTTGGTATCATCTTTTAGCAAAAGTTGAAGTTCAATATGCAAACCCCTACCTTAGATGGATGAATGTTAAATACAGATGGGCAATCCTGAACTTATGTGTCAGGAGAGTGTCAATTAGACAAATTTGGGAGCAAACATTTCTCCTTTCCCTCTTATGTATGTGTAAATTAACAGGCATTTTGGATGCTTTGAAAGTTGACTGGTAAAATTACTAATTAAACTCAGTCTGAATATCCATGTCATTATTCTTCAAGACATGAAATTGATTGCCAAAAAGAATGTTGATTTTATTATATAAAATTCTATGAAAGGTAAACACTGAACATTGATTTATCACAAATATCATCATATGCTTGCAAAAAGCTGTTGTAAGTTATCATTGGTATTGCTCCACTTCTTATCCTGTGGTAGGATATAGAAAAAGAGTATCCTTTTATGTTGTCTATGTGATCTTCTGTGGTTCTTTACATGTCTGTCAAAGAAGTTGCTTATCTTCGTATCATCCCAACTACAATATTTTCAGATTGTACAAGCCAAGGAGGTTATCCGCCATTTTATAATTGTGCTTGTTGGGTTTAACACATGTATAATGGCCAGGATTTTTGACTCTGCCAATGCTGACTTGGAGAATTCAAAAATTCCAAGCTCTTCTGAGTTGAAAAATAAGCCTGATGGTTGGGAAACAACATCAAGAGCACCTGATGGAAATGTGTGGGAAATGTCACAGAGGGAAGAAGACATTCTCCTCCAAGAATTTGATCGCCGAATTGCTTACTGTAAATTCCAGGTGCGTGTTGTTATTTATGAGCATTTTGTCACCAAGTGCTTCGGTTTTCTAACTACAACATTCAAGCTGCTAATCCCAATGCTTGCTTTTGGTTTTCTGAAATTATACAGATAGCTAGTTTTATTAAGACTCACATATTTAGCCGGAGGAGACCTATCGATGGGTGGAAATACATGATAGAGGAGATAGGGCCTAATGCGAGGAAAGGCAAGGGCAGTGTTTCAAGGTTGCCAAGTTTGTCAGATGCATCAACACAACCTTTTAAGGAGGAAAAGTTACAAATTGGAAGCAGTGTGGCCCGCTTGAAGGGGAGGTAGTTTGGTTCCCGCCTGCCCCAAAAACATTCAAAGATCATTACATGTTCTTGGCTAGTGATTGTAAGAGATTGTTGCATCAAGCATCTTCAATGTGAAAATACTTTCTTTGCTACATGAGATTTTGTAACTGAGCTCCAAAAGGAAAGATGAATGTGTGAACTCTGTTTTAAGCACCAAGTTTAACTGATGCATATAGTAATTTTGTAACGAATTAATGAAGAATATTGCTTTCATATTCATATAATTCTAAATACTATGACAGGGTGATGAAAAGTTTAGCAGAGTTCGGTTATGTAATGTTATCATAGTTTTTGAGGCAAGATGATGATGGGCCCATAAGATGGAGTTCTTTAATGAAAAAAAAATGTTAAGAGCCTCTTGTTTTCATTCTCATGCGATCATAAAAAGTGATTAAATCATTATTTTAAAAAATAATTTAATTTTTATTAAAAAAATGAAAATTTTTATTATTAAAGTAAAATAATACGTAAAATTAATTATAATATTATTACTTATTTAATAGGTAAATTAAAAATTTGTATTCATTTAAAATTTTAATTATTTTATATTATAAATTTTTATATTTTAAAATTAACAATCATCATAATAAATTCAAAAATAATTTGTGCTTATTTAATATTTTATTAAAAATGTATATTTTTGTTTTTCTTTTATTATAAATTTAATAGATTAGTTTATTTTTAATTCAAATATTTTTTTCATAATTTATATTCTATATTTATTATTAATATATTTATTAATTTAATAATTTAATTATATTTTATTATAAAATAAATAAAATATTACTAATATTTTATAAATTATTTTCTTCAAATAACATTAAAATTATTAATTTGTGTAATTATTACAATATGTATTATTATTTTCATACTTTTAAATAAAATAATATTTAATTTTTAATAATCTCAAATACAATAATATTTAATTATTAAATATTAATTATTATTAACTAAACAAAATGATTTCAAACCATTAGTGATAAAATCACTTCGGTAATAAAATCATATCTGTGATTACATTAATACATTAATACATTAATACGGTGATCTTCCAAAAAAATACCAATAGTTACTAAAGTGTAGAAAAAAGGCAACAAAATGCTCCAAAGAAGAAAATGATCTGTTAACTAATCTTAGGATCCAAGAAAAACAAAAAGAAAAAGAAAAAGCAGTTCCTCACAGTGCAATTTATCGTATCCTTTCACTTTTTTTCCTACATTCTTAATTTCTTCATCACTCTACCTGCCAAGTTCTGACCAGGAAATCCTTGATAAAAGCTCCTTTTGTGTAATTTGGACAAGATATGTACAGTTTTCCAGTGGATAGGAAGAGGGTCATGTAGAATGGCAATGCCAGTACCAACTCCAGTGGTGGTCAAGCTTCACAACTAATATGCATTCAGGATATTATGCCGCTCACATACTTTAGGCCCATTTTTAGCCCACCATTTTTCTGCTTGTTCTTCTGTGAAATATTTCCGACTGCAAAAAGAGCATAAAATCTTTCACAATTAGGCTCAAAATTATCTTTCAGTTGTGTTGACTTCAAAGAGAGGATCATGAATACATACCTAAAGCGAACACGCTTGAGTTCATTACTGCCATTGGGCAAGGGTAACAAAGTTATGTACACTCCTGGTTCATCTTGTATTACCGTCTCTGACTTTTCAGTTTGTCCTTTGGTTCCACGAGAAATGTTTAGGTTTTCTGAATTGCAATTTGCTTCACTTCGTGGAGATATCATGCTAGTTGCATGGCTGTCATTTGAGAACAGGTGCTCGGTGTCTGATGCGTGTTTGGCAATAGAACTGGATTTGTAGAGGGCATGCTGGCCTGCTGGAAGAATATCAGCCACTTCCTTCAACTGCAAGATCAGTTGACCATAAACAATATCAGAGAATAGTGAAGTATGGGTTTCCTATTTCAAACCCACGCTCTCTTCAAACAATTGAAACTTTGTTAATCTATTTTCCTAAATCTGAACCGAAAAATCATGAGCAAAGAAATCCAACCTGAGCAGTAAGAGACCTAATAACTTCCTTGGCTGATTTGCATTTTTCAGCTTCATTTTCTGCTATTGCAGTGACCTCTTTTAATTTCCTCGATGTCTTTTCAAGTTCAGCTTCAAGATGTTGAGATTTGCAAGTAAGATCTTCGACCTGCAAGAATATCCAACAGGTTTATCTTCTCATCCTTCCTATCAATTTAGATAAGCAAGACGGTTAAATAAACAAATTAATCAAAACTCAACAGCAATGGGAGTTTCACTCTCTCTCTTTCTTTATACTTTAATCTTATACCCCAACTACTTTAACTATTGACCAGCTTCTATCCCATTCCCATTCTAGCTGCAGTAGCTTAAATACACAACCCTTCAACTTCCCACAGAGGAATTTCAGGCTCTTTTTGGTTTACATAAGCAACTGATCTTGACAACTTGCTTCTCTTCATACGTTCTTTCCTTATCAGATATGTCTAATCAAATACAGAAAGAAACGACCTCTAGCAAACAATTCATCACCATTTTATAGACAAAGCACCCTAAAGGACAGGACAGGTAAAAAAAAATAGCATAAAGAGAGAAAGGAAGGGGGAAAGGGAGACAGATATTACAGGGATCAATAGAAAGAAATAGAGAACAATGCATTGCATTGCTCAGTAATGCCAATGCCTCACATTGAACATAATAAGTAACTAAGTTGTATTTGCTAAAAAGGAATTTAACAGGCTACCTGTGCCCTTAAATTTATGATTTCTTGGTTGAGACTGTCATTCATTTGCTTTGAATCATCAAAAGTTACTACAGAAGATCGATTTGGGCTTGACTTTCCTGAAGCAGGAGACATTGCCGGAGAAGTCTTTCTGGAACTAGACATGGAAGCTGATAAAAGTTTCTTAGAATGATCTCCAACCGGAGAAATTGATACCTTTGGTGTATACAATCCTCTGAGATTAAATTTTCCATTCTGAGCTGGGAAGAGAGGGCGATAGTGTAATTCTAGTTTCAGTTCACGCTTGAAATTCCGGCTTTCAGCCTGATTACTCGCGTCAACAGAAGACAGTCTGGAGAGTTGTGCCTGTAACTTGGGAGCTAAAGCCTCTCTATCTATCATCTCAATGGATTTACGAGGTAAAATTCCATTTCTGGCTTTAGGAGTCCAGACAGTAGAAACAGATTCTGCACTTTTTCTCAATTTAGCGAAACAGTCATCACACACCCTATATGGTTTGTTCATAGTTGGAGCCAGAGAAGCCTTCAGAGATTTTCTAATAGTACATGCTTTGCAGAAGACTAGTCCACAATTATAACAGTTGTGACGTTTTCTTCTGAAACCAAAAGGATTTCGACAACCGGAGCACATGGAATGATCAGCACTTGATACCCATTTATGAAGACTTATAATTGCAGTAAAGTTTGAACCACAAACTAAACTCTTGACTTGCTTGTCTTTCAGAAAATCAACGAGCGTTGGTGTATTTCTGTCATTAATATCTCCATGACCTAATTGACCATTTGTGCCCTTTCCCCACGTGTAAACCTCTGTTTTGGAAGTCAAAATAGCTACATGATACGATCCACAGGCAATCTCTTCCACAAAGCTGTCTGCTATTTTACCTTCAACCCTTGTTGGAACCTTGCCGTCAGCTGTAGCACTCCCCAATTGACCATAAGCCGAACTCCCCATCGTATACACTCGTCCTGAGGTTGTAAGAGCAACTGTGAGATTATGTCCACATGCTACCCGGCAGATACTGTCCTCAGATAGAGCAGCTACACATTCGGGAGAAAGTCTAGGTTCTTTATCGCCATGCCCAAGTTGGCCTTTATCTCCATCCCCCCATGTAAACAGCTTTGCTGAAGAAGAGATAGCTGGAGATTCAGAATCAGATGATTCAGTCACAACCTCAACAACTGCAGCAGTGTGCCAAGCACCACAGGCAATCCTTGTCGTCCGTAATCCGCTCAAAGTCTCCACTTCCCGTGGAATAGTTGAGCTACTACGATCCCCATGGCCCAGTGCACCAAAAGATCCATCTCCAAATGTCAACAACTGGCCACCAGATGTCACGAGAGCTGTATGCCAAGGTCCACAGGATATATATGAGACATGTATACCCTCCATGTCATTTACCTTTCTGGGGATCCAGTGACTTACTTCACTTCCATGCCCAAGCAGACCAGAGTTGTGTGTTCCATCGCCCCATGTAAAAAGATCCCCAGAGACTGTAACAGCACAAGTGTGATACTCCCCACATGCTACCGATTCAAAATTCATGCCACTGAGAGTATCTATTAGCTTAGGGTGGGGAACATCTGCTTCCACACCATGCCCAAGCCTGCCCCCTGATTCCTCCCCCCAACTGAAAATCTCACCCTTCTTTGTGACTAAAACTACATGCTTTTCTCCACAAGCAATATTATGCACATCTAGAATCACTGTTGATTCCAATGCCTTTGGAAGAAGTGCATCCATCTTTGTGTTGAATGAATTGCCAACTTTATCCACACCACCACCCAATACTCCATCACCAATACCTTGTCCCCATATAAAAACATCACCCAAGGCATCAAAGTCTTCACGACAAGAACCATGGCTTGATGAACTTAGAGCACTTGATAAACTGACTCTAATTGCATCTGCCCCAGAACTTCGACTATTTGAGTTCTCTACAGACCCAGCTGATGATAAGCAAGAGTCAACTAAATCTGTTTGACTGACATTCTTGTCTAAAGCAGTATGTGTAATTATGTCAGCGAATGCCTTTCCAAATCTATTTTGTGCCTCATAAGGTGCTTGAATTCCTTGAGCGTCTCCCGGATCCTGTAAAGATGAGAAAAGAGTAAGAGCATAAATTAAGCACTTCAATGTTATCATGCTTTTCATAAAATTGAAAACAGAGAAAGATATTATAACATACAAATGGTGACTTCGGAGAATTTTTTCGGTTGCGTGATTGAGGACTATCTGGTGATGCACTATCACTTCCTACTTCAATTCTCCACTTGCGGTAGGAACCATGAGAAATCAATGCCTTAAGACCAACGAACCAAACTTCAGCTTCATCCTTATCTTTACATATCTGTCAATAGTGAAGGATGGTATAAAATTCAATATTCACACACCATAGTAGCTTCAGTATATTTTACTGGCATTGATGCCTTTAAAAAATTTGTATGCTACAAGAACATCCATAAACATGCACTCACCAAATCCAAGGACCTGTCATTACATATCAATGAAAATGATTGATACTCCTTTTCAGGCCGAGGATATCTTTGAAAAACTGCCTGCAAGCCAAAACAAAAAACCATTATGGTTATGAAAGTTTTGGGAATCAAAGAATAACAAAGAGTATGAAACTCACAGTACGTTGTCCAGGTATGATCCTGGAAACTTGACTAAGCTTAAGATATTTCTCTTCTTTCCCAGAGTACCATATCAATTTAGACTCATCCTGAAAAAGAAAAAAAAAAAGAACCAACCTCAAGTATCTGATTACAAAGAACCGAGAAACGAAGGAAATTTCCAGTGACAATTCATGTTCTTTTTACTGATGATTAAAACTCAATTCGAGGTTTTGGACTGAATTGTCAATGATTTATAGCAAAATTTTCCATCAACAATGCCAAAGACATAAATGTAAGTAAATGACAGATGGACATGTTAAAATGAGAACAAACAACAGCCTTCAAAAGCAACATACATTGGAGAGTCGGAAAGGGCAAAACTTGGGTTTCCCCCTACGTCCATACTTGAGCAAGTACGCTCCTTTCTTTAGTGCTGTAATGGCCTGTAAAATGAATCCCCCCCCCCCCCCCCAAAAAAAAAAAATACTCTTAATCTCCAAGATTAAGAAAATAAGAAAAATTTAATTAAAAGATGAGAAAAAAAATGAAAGGAACCTGGTCGATATCCCTCTCGGCGAGACCAATTCTCTGGGAATCAGCCATTCAAGGTGCAGCCATTAGACCACCAATCCACCCTTATTATTATTTTCCAACTTTGCTCCATGAAAACACCTCCACTTCACAGAGCTACCATTTGTGTAAATTTTACAACCAAAACAAGATTTGAATTCCTTTTTTTTTTTAATCTAACCCATAAATTCGATAATTCCAGCTCTCAAAAAACAGCTCAAATTTCACTTCAAACCCTATAATTCATATATCTTTCTTCAAAATATAGCAACAAACTCCTCCTTTCTCCAACATTTGAAACAGAGCTTCGATTTCAATAATGCCCATGTAATGTCACCTACAATGCCTGCAACAACGCCAAATTCTCACCCCCCCTGAAAAATTTTAAGGCCGTTGAGCTTTTGACAGATAATTTCGACAGCTGTGAATAAAAAAATTACATATATTCGAGATCTTTGAAGGTGAGAACACGAGAAATTTTGAGATTTCGAAGGGTTTTATTTTTTTGAGTTTCTTAAAAAAAAAAAGGTTCAATTTTTCCTTTTGTCTCTCTCTTTCTATCTATTTGTCCGAAGGATTGGCCTTTTTTTTTTTTTTTAAACTGTCTGTTTGTCTCTGAAATTTTCGGTTCTTGAGCCGGTTCTTCACGCCACGTCAGCAACGGAAAATCTACGTGATAGGGATTGTTCGTCGTTTTGTCTGTTGTTAGTTCCGTTGTTTGTTACGGCATTTGGCAGCTCTTGGTTGGTTAGTATGATCCCCTGCGTCATGGTCTACGTTACATCCTTTTCCACTTTGATTGGAATTTGGTGACATCAAACCATTGATCATGATTAAAACAAAGTTGGATGCTTTTGTGTATTCCATTTAAAGAAAATTGGCCCTTTACTTTTTTTTATAATTGATAATGTTAACCTTTAATAATAGGTATACTAATAATTTTTTCAAAGTTATTTTTATTTTCACATCAACTTAAACATTATTAATTCATTTAAAGAAAAAATTTTCGCTTTTTTCTTTGAATCTTAAAATAAATTAGACAAATAATCATTAAATCTTCTCACAATTTCTGTTTTTATTATTTGAAATATGTTATGATGGTTTATGTAATGGCCACCTCATTTTTTGATCACTTTATAGGTTAAAATTCATTACATTTGATCAAATTTGATATAATTAATAGATAACTCTAAAACTTATTCGAGACAAATTAAAGTTTAGTAATTAAAATAAAATTTGTGTAAAAAATTAATGATTATTTACGTAAATTATTCTTTTTTTTTTAAATTTTGCATTGTGTAACAAACAAAAAGCTTGGGTTTGATTAAGTTGAAACTAACCCACATTGGAGCCTTTAAGAAACAAAAAGAAAAAAAGAAAAAGAGAAAGCATACTTTATCTTCCCTCAATAAAGAAAAAGAAGAAATCACTTTATAATTATTTACCCTAAAATCATAATATCATTCTCCTTCAAATTGGGCTTAAAACTTACAAAGGCAAAAGGTCCCTGATAATCGAGCCCGTGACCCAAGCCTAAATAGGCAAAATGTCAAGGTGAAAATGATCATTTGAAGTGGAGATGCGGGGTATCGATCCCCGTACCTCTCGCATGCTAAGCGAGCGCTCTACCATCTGAGCTACATCCCCGACGAGTATCAATTTCAACTTTTAATCTAAAACTAATAATAAAAAAATTTTTTAGAAGCATCTAAAAAACAAGTTTTTTAGAACTAAAAGGAAAAATTGGAAGTGAGAATTGCAAAAGAAATTATAGACGACATGATGGTTTATATCGGAAATTAATTGTGATTAATTAATTAATTTTAGTTATGACATCTTTGGAAGGATATTTCTTACAATACAAAATTAAAATAAGAAAAACCATATATAATTTGTACTATATCAAGAAGATGATTGCCCTATCACATAGATTTAACATTTCTTAATACCATACATGTAGATTATAATGAAGGCTGATAAAAAAAAAATTCAATATATGTAATCATCATCAAAGATCATGTAGTTGTTGCTACGCCGTACTCTTTCTTCCTTTTCAGCCTGATCATTGAACATAAAATTTCTCAAATTAATTTCTTTTCATAACCATAAAAATGGATACTAAGTTCATGACATTGAGACTAATAGTTCTGTTTGCTAAAAATAAGTTAATTATGTTAAGAAAAATGGTTCTGTCACAAGCCATAATGATTGATTCTTCTCATAACAAATGGTCGAAAAGATCTACACTTTTCATCATCGGATACACATGATTCTTTTGGATTCAATTTGGTTGTAACAAGTGTTACTATCAGAGATAAAATGGTGACATTGAATCTGTCAGAGGCCTTACTGACTCCTTGATTATGCATTTCCCATCCTTTGGCTTGTGACAGAACATAACCATTTTTTTAAACATAGTATTAATCATCTAAAGATGAATGACTATGTATCAGAACAGAACACTTGCAGTATATAACAAGATATATACCTTGGTTATAAGCCTTTCAAATTCTTGAGTCCCATGCTCTTCAATGTACTTCTCAGCAGCAGTTAGGATGTCATCTGGCTTGTTGAAAATACCCTTCTTGCGTGGAACATACCAAATTGTGGCACTTTGAGGATTCATTTAAAATGGTCTAATGAAGTGACGATAAACATATGCTGCGCCATTGAAGTGAGGCAAGACAAACCAGCACGTAACAATTAGCTTAGCGTAAGGCGAAATGGGGAACCTGGATTCGACAACGAAAGCCTAAATGATTGGATACTCATTGAGATTTAAACCTTCTTTTTCGGTTCTTTTGACAAACAAGAAATCAATCATTTTTTAGCTGAGTGCTTGAGCCCTTAGTAACATAAATGAATCTACAGCCAAAAAGCGACTACTGAAGATCAATTTCTCAAACATAGTTGGAAGGAAGTCAAATGCTGCAAATTAATGAACCCATTGACGTTTTGAGGAAATGCAATCATATGATTATCTCAATAAAAATGATTAGCAACTGTATTATCAAGTTAGCTTGCTTTTGCTTACATACCATTCAAGGACTTTGGCAAATGTAAGTTCAAAAAGTGTAATCATAGAGTAGAGGACCCAATATGTCAGCCATTGTTGATCATCGTAGCTAGACCTTGTTTCTATAGCCTTAATTGAAGCATATCTTCCAAAAAAGACAATCTTGGAAGTGTTAAAAGCAAATACTAACAATAATGTTAAGGTTGTTCTTTGTTCAAAGAAGGAAAAACCTACTTACAGAGAGTAAACCAGAGTGACTAAAGGCCTGTAGACCAGAAAAAAAAAAAAAAAGAACAAAATCTCACTTAGAATTAGAAAAGAAAACGAGTAGAAAAAAATGACAGAATCCTCTTTAAGTGACAGAAGCATCAATTTTAAAGTAAAGTTCAGGTTGCAAAAGAGACGTACAAAGCAAGAACATCAAAGTTTTTGTCAACAACTTGAAGAAAGTTCTGGGAACCCATTGCTCATTCCTTGTTTTGCTTTACTAAAATCAACTTTATTGTCTTTGGGTGTTGGTTTTTCCTTACAGCTTCTAAAAGTAGAGAGAGATGGCTAAAACAGAAGCGTGGGGCAAATGTGAAAGGTTTGAAGATTTAACGTCGAAAGTGAAGAATGAATAACATGGGGAATGTGGGGTAAAGGGCGCCTTCTTTAATCTGATGCTGCACGAGAAAAGAGGCACCGAATTTCTTTGAATATAACCAGGTATGGTTCTGTATTTGATCTCACACCTGAAGGACCAACAAAACCCTGCCACGTAAGGGATGATCATGCTTAGGATTCAAGATCTTAGTCCCTAGCAATAGCCCATGATTTTGGGCCCTCTGTTGTGTGGGCTTGACAAAATTTTGGGCCCTCGATTTAGGTGGATGCATGGTAGCAAATATTATATAATTTCCACAAACTTTTCATGATTTTGTCCAAAACCCAAAATATTTTAGCCATAATGGATAAAAAGAAATCCGCAAAGTATTAAGCCCTTAATTTTTAATCCGAACCAATTGATCCCTAATGCTATTAATGATGTATAATAATATATTGTATAATTAAGACCCATGTGGTAACGTGCAGTTGTCTTCTTTCAATTTAAAACAGCTAACAACCTCTTTATCTATCTCATTGATGGCCATGAGAGAGAGAGAGATGTTGGAGCTGTGAATATGTAATTCTACCTAGCTAGCTATAGCTAGAAGATTCATGCCTGCCAGCCAGAGTACTTTACATGTCGGTTGCAACTTGTTACAAACTATTAATTTGACTGATGCTGGTAGCGAAATTGGACTTTAAAGGAGTTTTCTTTTCATGTAACATAATGTTAGGGAGGTGAAAGAAGAAATGCATCAGATTTGTACTGTTATATTTACTTTATCATGATCATGACATTTGAAATTAACTCTGGCTGCCCACTTTTCTGGTCGATCTAATTACTTAGTCATGTCATGGGACAAGAAGTAATCAAGGGAACTTGTAGAAAAATTAGACCTGTAATTGCAATTTATAGTGTGGGACCCATAACCAGAAACTGTCAAACCCCGGGGCCTGAAAATATGGCCTGACCCTAAATTTGGATTAGACTAGCTTAAGCACTTTGGGAGAGTCATACTCATGATCATTACAATTGAATTTGATTCCCTGGTAGTGGCAGATATCTATGTATGACTCGGAAAAAGGTTAGGAAGAGAAAGTGTCACGTTGCTTTCAATACTCTACAATGGTACTGGTTTAAATGGTGATAATAATAATAATAAGAAATAGCATTAACAGAGAAAATATGTACTAGTACATATGACTGAGCAATAGATCAGGGCCATAGAATGCATGATGATTTTGTACGATTCCTCCCTCAACAATATTATAATAAAGCAGATGACAAGCAAAGATCATTTTAGTGATGATTAATACTGAAATCAACAGTTGTGGCCACCACTTGATAATTAACTAACAGCATGTGAAAATGTCATGAGAATATAGCACTTTGAAAATGTGCTATCAGCATCCTCATTGTTGAACCATGGAAAGCATCATGTCCTACGTGATCAGCGTTGTCGTGTGTGATTAATTACAATACAAAACCAATCTTTTTTCTTGTTATAGAGCACGAAGTAGGTACCTGACTAATCTGTTTTTCTAACTTAATTATATTAATCATAACTACCTTAAACTGACCTATGCAAATCAGTGCGTAATTAAAAATAATGCTGCAAAACAAAGCAATCTGACATGGTTCGAGGATAATAAACAGGGATTCATCAAAATGTTTATTATTTGACGATTAATAATATCCTAAACAATAGTCATCAAGCCATGCAGTTCTTTCATATAATAGTTAAATTATAGGGCTAGCTCTTATATCTACTCTTAGAAGCTCCATCTCCTTTTTCTTGGAAAAGAAACTCTTACAAATCTAGAAATAATCCCTAAAAGCTAATTTTGTTACCAACAACATGAAATGTAAGTAGAAATCTTGTGACAGCTGCTATTTGGCTTAATTACTGTAGAGCAGGTAGTATTGCATCTAAGGTTTTGAATTTTGATGCGACTATTAATAATACCCAGAAAGGAAAATGTTTTAGTAAGACTACCGTGTGAGACCAATGGAGTGTGTCAGACACTCTTTTTGAGAATGCTAACTTGCATGGAAATGCTGCCTAAAAGAAAAGGTTTCCCAATTTAGACAAAAAACCTTCAACCCAAAGAGAGCCACCATTGCAACTTGCAGCACCGCTGCCCTTGGAATCTTAGTTGTGTTTGAGAAGGAGAAGAAGAAGAAAAGATACCAACTTCTAGGAGAAACAACTGATAAACTTAAATGCCTAGAAGACCCACTTCTAGGTTACCTGCTATGCGGTGCACCGGTTTAAAGGGTTATGAGAGAGAAATCCATCAAAATTAGAATGACCCACAGCTTGATGAAGGGTTCAGTGATGAATAAATATATGGTGACAGGTTTGTGTGGTAGGGACATTAATAAACCAACCGATCAGTCTCTATATCACCAGCAAATTACTTCCTTATAAGAAGAAGAGGAGGAATGATCCTCTTGTTAGTTAGTGATTGCTTACTGCTTTAGTGACCTGCATACCCAGAAGCGGGCTCACTCACCTGAGAGTAAACCTCAAAGTCTGAATGTGATCACGTGTGGGCTCCTCTCTCTATTCTTGCAAACATGATTGAACTTTCTTTTTCTGATGATCTAATGGCACCAAGAATCACAAATGCCAATGCCAGTGCTTGAAATTATGCAGAATTAGGGAAACCATGTGGTTGTGGAGAGAGATCAGCCCAAGTGGTGAACAGTACTAAGTTTTAATGTATTAGTAATGCACTAAAAGAACGCTGAAATCCCCCCCCCCCCTCAATTACTACTCTCACCATTTTAGTGAAGGATTAATCAAGGGAAGCTTTTAGTGTTAGGAGAGTATGATGAGTTTGTTAAACCTTACCTGATCAATTGAAAGGTAGTAATGAACCTTAGGTATGCAGTATACTATTGCATGCGTATCTAGTCTCACATTGATATCAAACTGTTCAGTCACTACCCAAAAAAAAAGACCTCAAACAACCGCTAATATATGCTTAGTGCTAATATAATATTAATTCTCTCATATCAAACCCTAATTAATAAGTTTCTCATTACTCACAACAAAACCGAATATCACACTCAATTTCAAAGCATTCAAACTTGCGCCCGTACGTATTGCAAATTGAACATATATGTACTACTAACAGTATAAGTGAAAAAGAATAAAGCAAGATCAAGCCATACACTTGTAATTTGCTCTAAAGGCATGGCCGAACGCTAGCTAGTTGAATCATGCCTATCTTCTCCAACATGATGTACTTGATGTGATCCGCTGGCTGGAGACTCTGAAACACTGGTGCCTGGAATCGGCCTATAAGCGTTTAGTGCCGCGATAACGCCTAAATGACTGTCGGTAACAGAACCACCAGCAGCAATTCCTGAACCCAATTGCTGTCCAGGCAGGAGAGCCATTGGAGTAGCAAAGTTCATAAAATGCACCCCACTAGACATAGTACCCCTATACATATTAGTATAATTACTTACTGAAGGAAATGTCCACATAGGATCCCCAGCACCACTCCCGCTGATGACTTGGTTGCTAGGATTTGTCACCATCCAAAATGTTGCCGGAACCGGATTATGACTCGCCGGAATTGAACCTGTGGTCGATTGTATCAAGTAACTTCCCATCTGATTTTGTGACAATTCTTGCTGCTCAGGCCTTCTCTTCTTCCCCATACTAGTATCCGCCGCCTCCACCACATCCACACTAGCGTCCCGCAACTCTTGCTTAGCTTGCAAGAAAGCGTTCACACTACTACTACTGGGAAAGTTTGATGAATCCTCTGATGATAAAGCAACACCGGGAAATAAAATCCTCCTTTGTTGCTGAGAAGATAAGTCGTCAAACACATTCCTTTGATTCCACTCACTCCTCATCGTCAATTGTTGTGTAGAAAAATTTGGATTGAAATAAGTATTCCTCAAGTGGGAAGCTGACATACTGGAACCTGAACTTCTGAGTGAAATATTAAGGGACGTAAAATTTGCAGGAATAGTACCTGTCCCCGTGGCAGCAATAACTGCAGGCTCAGCTTGTTGAAGCAGCCATTCAATGGTTTCACCATCTGATTTGTGACCAAGCTCTCTTGTTAACTGGAAAACCCTAGCAGCACACGTTGCAGGCATGCGGATGCGACGGCCTCGGCCTTCCACCTTGGTGTGTCTGTCCTTGGTTGAAGTCCTCTTAGGGGGAGGTTTCTTTGGTGGATCCAAGCTAGCTTTGGAGCTTGTCTCCGGGTTTCCGGTGTTGGAACAAGGTTGTTCTTGTTGTTCCTTCTTTTCTAGAAGCTGTAGAGGGAAGTTTGGCCTCCGGATCCCATTTTCACCATCCATGATCATGTGTTGGAATTATATGTTTTTTTTTTCTCTTCCCAACCACAACCCCAACACCTTTTTTTTGCTCCTAGTACATGATCTGTAGGTGACCCTCAATTCAGTGACTTTGGTGGCCTAGTGGGTCTCTTTTTTCTCTTTCTTACAATATGCTTGGAATTCTTTCAGATGGCGATGGTGGCACCTGAGTTGTTTTCTTTTCTCTCTTCAAAGAGAGAGATCGAGAAAGAGAAAGGGTAAGGGAAGAGGACGAGCTTTAAGCAACAAATACAATGAGCGAGAATTATAAGGGTGGGCTAGGAAAAGCAATGATTTCTTTCGGAGGATTGGAAATATTTTGTTTCTTTGAGGATGTGTTCGTAATTTTCTGCTTCCTAAATTCTTTTTTTTATACGTATTTCGTTTTTATTATAAAAAATATATAAAAGAAAACCTTTGTATTTTTTTTAGGGGGTATAAGTATATAGATATCCTTTTATTGTGGTTGGACAGCCCCTTGATTCAGTCTCCACGTGCGGTGGTCTTCATCATTCAATCCATAAAGACAGCGGTGGCCTGAGTTGGGAGTTGGGACCCCATCCCTTTTGGTCAAAAATACTGAAACAAATCAAGCACTCTCTTCCTCTCGTTAAATTTAAAGAAAATAAAAGCAAAAATGATATATAATCAACTGGTTCCCATCCCTTTCTTGTAATCACATTGCCGTTTCCCTTTGCTCTTAGTTAAAATTAAAAAGGAAAAAAACATGCTTTCCAGCTTAGCTAAGCTAATTCCCCATAAACAAGTCTGCAGGTGTTGCTGCCTTGTATATTCTTATTTTGTTCAATTAAATTTCAAGACTTTTGCTCTATTATAATGCTGTCTTTTGAGAGTTTTTTTCAGATTCTCTTTTATATGTGTAATTTTTTAAATTAATTTCATAATGATGTTATTGTTTATATATATGCAACTAAAAAAACTAATGAGTATATATGTAGATGAAAGTGATAGTAGTATATTATATGTAATCAATTAAAATTTTTTAAGATTTCAACCATGCATGGACTCAAATTTGTCTTAATTATTTTTACTTTTTTTTTTTTTTATAAAGAAGATTGTAACTTGAAAATAAAAAAGAGATTGTATTTGTCAAGATTTCAGTCTCAAATCAACCAAATATATGTCCTACCTTAAAAATAATTATATGAATCAATTGAATTAAATCTCAAATTCTTAATTATCTCCCACCTCATTTTCCTTTCTTTCTCAATGTCTTATGCTTGAATTAACCCCAATGATTTTATCTTGAACAAATCATTGTCCATTGCTAAATTTATAGATACCAAAATAACATTCATAAACAAGATTTTGGTAGGGCGTAATCCACATTAAGATCAAGAAGTCCCATATATCTCTGTGTTTTGGTTTCTATCCATATTGAAGGGTACCCAATTGACCTAGCAAAACTGAAGGAATGATCTCAAACATTTAATTCAATCACAAAAAAATTTCTTAGTTTCAAAAGAAAATATATATGATCAGGAGAAAAGATACTTGATGGACAAATCTTTCAGTAGATTTCTGAGTCAATACCCAATACTTTTCGGGTCTCCATCTTTGGACATGTGAGCACCATCAGTCTGCAATATATAATGTGATCTTTACAAGTTTTATTTGAAAAGCTCATATTCCCAAATTTTGACTTTTTTTCATTTTGCCATAAAAGTCTTCCAACTCAATATTTTTTAAACCTTTGCAGGAGTAGGACAACAATTTTCTAAGATCAATAGTCTTAATTTTTGGACCAATTGACTTGCCCATAAGGAATGTTTTGTTCATGAAGGTGGTAGAATATAGGTTTCAACACCTTTTCTATTATGATATTTCATATGAGAAAGATTATATATTCATAATCACTACATAAAATTTATACATATGATATGATAATATAAAAATTAAATTTAAGAAAAATAAAATTTAAAATAAAAATTACATGTATACAATTTATGTGCATGTAACACTCGGGTGCATAGTCACATAGTATTTTATGGGGTCGATACCCACTTAATTTTTAAAAAACAAGATTTGTATTTATATGAAATAGTAAAATTTTAGTAATTTTTGTGTATTGATCATACTAAAATTTAATAAAAGACATAAAGTCAAAAGGTCAAACAAAAATTTTCATTATTTTTTCAAAAACATTATCATGTATAAATTTAAGAAAAGATGTTCAAAATATATTTCAACAACCAACATACCTAACTAAATGATAAACCCATCTTCTCTTTTTGAAACAATGATAAACCTAATTTCAAGTAACATTTTCTCTAAACCCCGCCAATAATCACTGTTTTGATATCGACAATGACCCTACCTAAGATTGTCGCGAGCCTCAAATTAAGTTAGATTTGTACTAAAAATTGTGATTTAGATCGAGTACCACAATTTGTCATGTCATTGATCAATTCCCCACATCTTAGCATACATATATATAAAAAGATGTAGCTTTTTCACCCCACCCCCAAAATCGAACCGTGGCTTCTTGTCTCAATTTCACATTCCTTTTCCTTCCTTTATTTTTAATTCTCTTACAAACCAATGATTCTTGATATCAAACCAATAATGTCAAGGTTGTCCTGATGAAGTACTACTGTTAGTAAAGCCAATGACATAATCACGTTCCTCCGGAACTCCAAACATAACTATGTAGGATTTACAATTATTTATGTGTCTGATGAAACTCAACAATCTGCAGCTTTTTGTCAGCCAAATCATCGGTTCATATATGTTGTCACTAAATAGGTGATTTGGTATGTAATTGGGTAAACAATTAGCTTTAATATAAAGAGGTAATTTTGAACTAAGCAACTTTAACATTAATTCTTCAACTAAATAATAATGGGATTTCTTCCACGCCAGTCATATTTATTGTTTCATGGTACAATAGGTGGTTGAAATTTCTTTGAAATGATAATAAAATTTAGTTTATATAATAGCAAAAAACTCTCAATAATCTTAATAAACAATAAACTTTATACGTCATTTCAATTGTAGGGTATTTCATAATCGTGTAATTTCTTGACAGAATGTTGAATTTTTTTCTCAATTATAAAGGAAAATTGCTTGGAAATAATAATCTTTAATTACTTTACTTTCATAAGAAAATCCTTATAGATAAATTAACATGTGGGGAGTTGTTTACAATTTTCTCATCTGGTCCCAGTGTAAGTATCTAAACATCAAAGAAACAATGAAAGCCACTAGCTGATGATCTGTTTGAAGTGATATATGTAGTCCCCATTGGATCCAATAGTAATGGTTGCTGTGGTAAAATCACGTGCCTTGCCATCTTTGCTGGTGATGCTGATGGCTTACCCTCCATTTGGGCTAATTATTCAAACAAATTTGTCGGAATGTTGGCGTTTACTGAGCTAGAAATTAATCAGTCTTTTCCCCCCTATTTTTGGTGACGCTGGCCACTCTCTTTGAAAATTACAAATTTAATATCCTAATCCAACAAATCATCCATTAATTCCTCTAATTTTCCTCTTTTACAGTTGACAATGTATTTAGTTTAGATATAATAATTTTAAATACAATACGGGTAATATAATACAAAAATAATATATGAGTTTGACAAAATATTTTATGTTTGGCATGTGACAAAAATTTTGATATGATAATATTCGTATTATATATATTTGACACAAAATAAATACGATATAAATACATGAATTATCATATCTAACTTAATTAATATATTAGCTTCAAAATATATTTCTATTTATTGGCTAAGTTCATAACATAAGATATTATTTTTATCTTATCCCTTTAATTACTTGACATTTTTTAAGAAATTAATTTATATATTAAACTATAGAGGTCATCATTGACTTGTGTATACCATGCTTATCTTAATTAAATATTTGCCCATTCTTCAATAATATAAGAAAAATGTATCAAGAGTGGTCAGCCATGAGAAAAATGTTAGGCGAGTCCAATGAATCCAATCATTAAAAATCTGGCTAGTTAATTTTTAAAATATTGTCCCATTCTTTAATTTTATCAAGATAAGAATGGAAAAGAAATGATAAAATCTAAATACATCATTCTACTTAAGGTGATAAATTAAATTCAATACTGTAATTATTTTTGAACACGTGTAATTTTAGTAATTTACTTCAAAAATAGTAGCAACACAAAATATAATTTTAAATCAAATTAAAAATACAATGATAAAATTATTCATTTGATCCATAGCTCCAATTACAATAATGAATTTAGATTTTATTCTGAAAGAAATAAAACTATAAAATAGAGAAAAAAAAATCAATACTATATAGCTTAAGAAAGATGTTCCCTTAGCTAATATATATAAATATAAATATATTCCCTTCAATGATTAGAAGAACAATACGAAGGAGATAACCTTTCTAAAAAGAAAAGAAAATTGAAGGGAATGACAGGTTGGAATGCACAAAAAAACTTGCTAAAAAAGATTTGACAGACTTACAGAGGGAGAGATGGATAAAATTGTTAACTGCACTATTTCAAAAAAGCTGACAAAAGCCAATCACAAAATCCACCATCACTTTCCGTACCCAGCCCTGCACACTTAAAAAGATTAATTTATGGCTCTGATCAGTGGGTCATTTCCCCTTTAGACCTCATCCTTTTGTTGCTACTGACCTTACCTCGTAGTCATTTTCCTTTGTAAAATTTGTCTCCGACTCCCCTCCCTATAATCCCGATATAATTCCCACTTTTTTTTTTTTTTACTACCATTATTATTTGATTTTTTTTTATATAATTGAAGCTGTGAGTGAAATATTAAACTTCAAAGTATTAAAATTAAAAATATAATATTTTATAAACAAATAATAAAAATTATCAAATTTAAAAAAAAAGATACTTTCTTTATCTCTTTTTATGGTTCCGATTTAAACATGTTTTTTGTTTACAAATTTGACAAAAAAAAAAAACATAATTAAAAAACGCATGTTCGTTTTTTTTCCTCAAAAAGTAGGTTAAAGGTTGAAGATCATTTTAAAATTTCGTATGTGTTGTGTAAACTGAAACCCAGAATCCAAAGTGTAAACAACTTTTTCTTCATTTTGGACCTAACGCCAGCTAAATTGACTCTTAGAGATTTGAAGTCCAGAAAGGCAATTGTCAAGGCAACTTAAATTAGAGAAAGCTTTCATATTAGAAAAATCAACGCCATTAAATGATAGGCCAACATGAGAAGAAAAATTTATCCTGGAAAATTTTGAATTAAAACAAAATTCACCAATTTGATTTAGGTTTAGTCAGTGAACGTGTGCTGACATTGGAGGACTTGAAAGAAAATTCTAAATAAATCCCAAGTTTGGAAATT